GTCACAGCTGCAACAAGGGTGCAGATATATGCACCCCGAACGCAAAGGATCATTAAGACAATATCTCGCTTTAAAGACATCGCCAGAAGTGGTTCAATTCGTGACGACGGCAAACTCGTGGTTGCAGGAGACGATACAGGGCTAATTCAAGTTCGTCCTCAAGGCGTGTATGCACTTAGGTCTATAACAAACCCCACGACATATAGATATTTGATATCAACAGTAGAGCCATCCTTCGCACACTCGACTCGCACAAACAACCTGTTCATGTTACCCGCTTTTCCCCATCTGACCAGACCCACATCCTTTCCTGTTCTGACGATACTACCGTCAAACTCTGGGATGTTCCTTCAGAGTCCGCCATTCATACATTCACCTCACATACCGACTATGTTCGATCTGGTCTTGTTGCACAATCCAACCCAAATCTAATTTTAACGGGTTCCTATGATTCGACTGTACGGTTATTCGACACTCGTTCGGGAGAATGCGAGATGCTTATGGTAGGAGGCGGCCGTACAGACACTAGGAGCGCTGTCCCCGTGGAACAAGTTCTTATGTTTCCTTCTGGTTCGATTGCGTTGTCTTCTGCAGGCCCAATTCTCCGCGTTTGGGATCTTGTTGCCGGTGGTCGATGCCTCCGTGCTCTTTCGAACCACCAAAAAACTGTCACAGCATTGGCTTTTGACAGTAGTGCAAGCAGGCTCCTGACGGGAGGGCTTGATCAGATGGTTAAAGTGTACGATGTCAGTTCTTACAAGGTCGTGCATACAATGCGCTACCCCGCCAGTGTCCTCTGCTTAGCTGTATCAGTGAGACTGCCTTTATTTAGTATGTGTCGATCTGACTGCTATTCTAGCCCGATGATACCCACATCGCTGCAGGAATGTCGGACGGGACTTTGTCCATCCGACGGCGAGATCCCAAGCCATCTCAGGTCACCGCCACTGACCCCCTTATTTCATCTGAGGCACTGCGTTCGGGGAGCTATGAGCTCTTTGGTGGGGCACTTCCGGCTGTTGGTGAAGGGCACACTCGCCGTGATACAAAAGGCAAGTCAAAGGCGATATCAAACATTGACGAGTTTCGTGTGGAAAGTAGGCGAAAAAAGCGACTAAGGGAATACGATCGACTGTTAAAATCGTTTAAATATGGCGCTGCCTTGGATTCGGTATTGCGCAAGGTATGGGATCTCTATTTATTGCTTATCCATTACTGAAACTGGTCTCCGCATAGCAAGTTCCCCCGACGACCACGTTTTCATTGATACAAGAGCTGATTCATCGAGATGGGCTAAGGCCTGCTCTAGCGGGAAGGGACGATGTTCTGCTTGAACCGGTCCTGCGACTGCTTGTAAAGCACGTCACAGATCCACGATTCGGTGTGATGACGTGCGATGTTGGCAAAGTTCTAATCGGTACGGCTACTCCAGTTTGATATATATATATATTTCGCCGCTCATTTTCAATACGACAGATATGTATACTCCGGTGTTGGGTCAGTCACCCCTGATAGACACGCTTTTTCTGCAATTGCGCAAGAAAGTTGCGGCCGAACTTCGTTTCCAAAAAGAACTTGCTCGCATACGAGGTGCATTGGATATGGTATTCTCATCAGCAGTGCTGGGAGCTGCACCACTGCCCACACCAGCAGTGTGAATCTTAACAATTAATGAGTCCGCTGAGGCCACATAGACATCCATGTACTGCCTAAACATCATCGTGCCTTAGCAACCCTCCAAAAAAGTGATCAGGCCATGCAAAATCTCCTGTTGCGACGGTGCTGCGTCCTCTGCTATCCGCCTTTCCTCTCCATCTACGTTGTCACGATACGTTTTTAATACGCTCACTATATCCTTCAACGTCTTGTTTTTTCGGCCCAATATCATGGTAACATGTTCGCGAATCTAGACACGGTTTGTGAGCGACCTACTGTTACTAGTGGGACGTACATACTCCATCGTCTTCCATGCATATCCACCCTAGAATATAGTCCACTGTTTGTAGAATAAACAATCCACCGTCCAGTTTGCGTAGGTACCAAGTGTCTTCTTCGTCCGTCTCCACAACGACACCGTTCGCAACCAAATCCTAGAATTTCTCCGTCAGGTTTGAGCAGATACTCCGCATTATCGCTTACGTTACGTTCCTCCTCTATCTCTTGCTCGACCGTCCGTAATCTGGCCTCAGAGTTCTCTCTGATTTCTAGAAGGCGATCGACTTTCTCGTAGGTCCCTTCTACAAATTTTGTGAGTAATCGTACTCGCGCGGGTGACTCCGACTCGAGGTTGGAAAACAGTGACGATAGAATGCCAAGCATATGGGATGTGTCCTCAAATGCAATAGTTGCGACAGCGGCCGCCTTCTGCTTCTGCTTCTGGGTCTGGATAACATTTCAGAGTTATATCAATCAAGATGAACCGTTCTTATACCTTTCCCATAAATAACGAGAACAGTGTCTTGAGACCAAGTGCCTCGATGAACATATTGCAATTGGCGGTACCAGCTGAACCCGATAATGCATGGTCGAGCACTTTGATAGCTCGGGAGCGAGACTGCATTTTTTCTCTGAAAAGTCGACATGGATCATGTCATTTGATTGAAATCAAAGCAACACCCACTTCATGATAATTACCATGAGATCAACGCCTTCCTCTTGAAGGAAAAATTGTTTTGTCTCGGGCTCAATAAGTGCTGAACACATTATATCAAATACATTTTCCATGAACTCAGTTTCATCAGGATCCACAGGATCCCGCTTCCGATATTGCTAAAATATATTTGAGGCGTACTACTCATGCAGGGGCATACCAGGGGACGCACCGATAGAACTTTCAATAGTGTCTCTACACCCCCTTTGGATCCCAGGACTAACCGGTTGTCCCGATTGTCCTGCAAAAGGATTGAAAGGACTTCAGCTGCGTAACCTCGGTTCTCATCGTGTATCTTTGCACTGATTCTCTTCAATAACCACGGAAGAATGTTTGTGTTCTTAACAAGCATGACGCTTAGCTGGGGATTGAAACCGAGACAATTTTCAAAAATGCCTAAAGCAATCAATCCATTGAAGCCAACATATTATATACATGCGCTAAAACTGGGCTCACCTAAGATGTGAAAAACACCTTGTCGATCAGCTTCTTCTATTTCTTTCAACCGAGTTAAATTTTGCACAAGGAGTTCGAGGATGGAGTTCTCTAGCTGAATGTAAATAAATAAGCCAGGATACAATCTGCAAGATTTCTTCTTGCTCACCAACCCTTCAATCAAACTTTTTAAGGCTTCCTCCCGTCCCCCTTCCTCGTCCACGTCATCATCATCTTCGTTCCCGACATCTTCATCTGTGAGTTCATGTATAACTTCAACGACGTCAATGACAATATCGGCATTTTCATGGCTCAATAAATCAATAAGAGCAGTCGCTGTGCCTGAGCGAACTAGTTCAGGGTATGCAAGTGTGGGAGCCTGTGCGAGCGGCAGGAGGGATTTAATCGCGCTGTCCAGGTCAGCCTCAGAGTCAATAAATCTTTGATATGGTTTGAGTATCGATTTGAGTCGCACGTATATTAACGAGAACAAACTTGGTAGGATCGTCCGGATACTTTGAGCGCTGGTCCTGGTTCTTTTTAACGGCACGTTCAAAGCGTAAAAGCAACCTGCGAATTCCAGTTATTGAAAGTTCGTCTAGCTAACAAATAATACAAGAGTGAGCTTGGGACTAGTAACTTGAAGAAACATACAAACATCCTCCTGCACCCCCTCATTCCCCGATCCATCGAATATATTGAAGATTTTTTTCTGCTCATCCGTAAGTCCACCTCCAAAGAACCTTCCTTCGTCGTCTTCCTCTGCAAAGTAGTCTGCATCCCCTCCAGGTGCAAAATCAGCTGAGCCTTCCATATCCTCATCTACATCTTCAATCGTCACTCCTCGAGACTTGGGATTAGGGAGTTCGCTACTGTCTCCGTTTCTCGATGAAGCCTGTGATGTAGAAGGACCTGCGACAGGAGGCTCCATCTTCATGCGTTTGAGCATCTCTGGAGTAGGTGCCTCTGGAAGCTGCCGCTTCTTGCTTGTCGGTAGCTTCGGTACCTATTGCACAATGCATGAACATTGAAGCTGGCAGACTCGGAACTCAAGATGGAACACACCTTGAAGAGCTTGTCGATATCCATTGGCTTGCTGCTAGAAGAAAATTCCCAACTAAATCAAACTTTTATAAACGTGTGAACTTACTTGTATTGGACGAGTGGACTATTAGTATGGCGACGCAAGAGACTCGAGTTTCCAATTTGCTCCCGCGACTGCCAGTTATGGTCGACTCGATTCAGAAGGCGTTGCACGGTCGATTCTTGTGCATTGAACATTAAGCTTAAGCTCAAATTACTATAATGCCATAGTTTGTTATGCTTATAGTAAATATATACTGTCCGAATTTCCTCTGAGATAGTTCAAAATGCCATACACAGGCAAGTCGTATGTATATGCGATTGAGCTCCCTCAAAGTTGTCACTAGAGCCAGGTATCCGATGCACACGGCCATCCAATTATTATATTAGTCTATTCCGGTGTTCCATCTCCCAATCTTCAATTTCGTAGCCTCCCAGCTCACGTCTTCGCCGGGCCATTGCACCCCCTATACCCCTTGTCCTTGCACCAGCCAGTGCCGCTTCCCAAAACCCAGAGAAAGCATGAAGAATGGGTAGACCAAGGCACGATGAGAGAATGAGCCAAACTAGAAGGAGTATACTTTGTGTAGGATGTTTGTCATATTTCTGTGTACGCATGCGAATTAACCACTGAAGCTGAAGCTTACCACAGAACTATTCCAATCAAGATCAGAATGGACAAGGAGGAATCGTTGTGTACCATCCTATTTTGTGGCAGATGTCAGATCGCAATCAGAGAAAAATGATCATGTTCCACTCACCGAGTAGTATGAGGAAGAAAGGCCTTTGTTCATTGACTGGCTATTATAGCGCAATGCTTTCTGTTACGTATCTCTGGGTAGCTCAGTTGGAAGAGCGTCAGACTGTAATGGATATCTTGTTCATCTGAATGTCACTGGTTCGATCCCGGTCCCGGAGACTCCCATTTTGTTTTTCTCATATCTCATTGCCGGGATCGACATTATTTTTCCTTGTCACGTTTGCCCTTTCCAGGAGTTTTTATACTTGGGTGTTGCAAATATTTTTGGACGTTAGAGCATCGAATCTGGCAACCGTGGCCGAGCGCCTACGCTCACTTTATGATCAACTACATCCTTCTCGTTTCTCGTCAAGGTAAATTTGTCAAATAAGAGCGACAGGACTACAGTAAAGAGATGTCTAGGGAAGGTACGGCTAGCGAAATGGTTTACCACAATGTCACCGAAAGCCAAATCCAAAATCGTCAAAGACGTGACGCAGCTCGTCCTCGCGCGACGGACGCGAATGTGCAATTTTCTCGAGTATAAAGGTACGCGGCCGACTACCAAGCCTCATATGCAGAAGAGGGAGAGGACCGTGGTGCTTCGTAGAGCTTACACTTGCGATGTAGATACCAAGGTGGTTTACAGAAGATATGCGTCGCTTTTCTTCGTCTGCGGTGTTGGTTCTGGAGACAATGAACTTGTGACGCTTGAGGTCATACATCGATATGTAGAAGTCTTGGATCGATATTTTGGCAATGTAAGCTTTCGTCCACACGATGCTCAGACGCGCTACTTATGCATGTACCAGGTGTGCGAGTTAGATCTGTGAGTGAAGACAGCGCATTACACGTCTACCACAGATTGAGAGAGTACTGTACTGTACAGGATCTTCAACTTTCAGAAAGCGTTTGCGGTAGGCCTGACGATCTAAGCTCAATCTTTATCCATCCAAACATTTGTTCTTAGATCCTGGATGAATTGATTATCGCGGGAGAGCTGCAAGAGTCGTCGAAGAAATCAGTGTTGCGAGTGGTGCGCTTGATACTACTTTTGCGAATCACGCTCCCTTCTGATATTTCGAGTAAGGTTGCACAATCAGATCAAATAGAGGAGACAGAGAACAGCGAGGACACTCTTGCACGTTTAGGTTCACGAAGTGGATGATGACGAATAGTGGATGTGTACGTTATACCATATAACTTTTTGTAAACTCTGCTGCCACCCGTCTTATAAGCCAATTATAAGCATACTTAAATTTCGAAACATGGGACTATTATTACAGCTCCTTGATCTATCCACCGTCAATGCTCGTTCTTTCCATCGTTCTCCTTGGAGTGTGATCATAGAATATGTGAGGTTAAACACGACTGAGTAATGACAAACCATGACGGAGAGCCGAATGCCTGAGTGATTAATATGTTCAGTTATCTTTGGCGGCGCGACCTGCGGTGCTTCGCGATCTCCGGAGAGAGCCGTTGGCTGCGTTTTTCCCCTTTTTCACAGAGCTTGTGTTTTCGGCTTCTGTCTCGCCCTCGTCATCTGAACGCTCGTCATCAAGCTTTGAGACAAATACAGCGCTGTCATTGTTGAGGAATTAAAACTGGCCCTGATGACCAGAAATCTATGAACAGAAATACGTACCGCAATAGAATACGCCAAATGAGGAAGTACCAGAACAGGTTGACAAACTGGAGGGCCAAGAGAGGTACAAACACATTGTACTTCATCCAGTACGGGAACCAAACACCCTCCGCCGGATTCCACACCTTCGCATGTTCACTAAAGAATAATGAGAAAGACGGATCAGAAGAGGGGTTAGCGAGAACGAGAATCATACATACGGGATCAGGTCAAATTCCACCCAGACCGACCAAAGTATGACAAGGTTGAGCCAATGACGGAAATACCTGCAATACAGGACATAAGCACGTGTGACAAAGGGGACAACTATGAGATACGCACGTCCATACACAGGTAAAGAAAGCAAATGCGATGTTCTTGGTCCTCTCCAACTGAAGATAATTGCAAATTTTGGCGAACTGAGATGTACTGTAATGTTAGGAGGTGAAGGAGCTGACGCTATATGAAACCGCACCGCAAGGAAAACATCAGATACATCCATGCTAAGGAATACAGCATTGCCTATCGGGGTGAAATTGATGGTGTAACTCCATCTGGAATAATATGGGATGGGAAGGTGGAACAGATGCGTGTGGATCGAGCAACATACCCTATTAGCCATAATGTAACAATGTGGTGCACTACAAGCTCGGCGAAATCTTTGCGGGGTTTCTCAAGCCTCAGGGCAAGAACCAGAAGCTGCTGAAGCCAATACGCCGAGTGTAACAAGTAATATGATTTCATGAGAGGCTTCATTTGCCAGAAAGGATACTCTGGGGACAAGTTAATGACTCGCGTGTCCGCGTTGGGAAATGCACCCACCTAGCCAAAAATTCTCTGTTTTATACCACCAGGTGTTTGTCTGCGACATTACAATCTGGATCAAAAGCGATCAATCCGTGTCCGCAGGGAGCGTTTTGAATAAGAAAAGCTCACGAGACCGATAATAGACATGAGGGAGAAATAAGTGATAGCGTAGCCTTGTTCTCCGAACCGATCGAGTTTCGACGACCTTTTGATGCCGACGTGCCGTGCGATCGGATGGAAGATGTACAACGTCATGGATTGGCGCACGAAAGACCAAACGATAACGTAGAATAAAACAAAAAGAATATCCAAGTATCCTTTCTGGTACCGCGGGTCCTCCGGAGAAGAATCGGGGACGCGATGGGATATGAAGAGGAGTGGTTCAAAGGGATTGTACCAGTCCGGAGGAACGAGGTGCCAAGCCTGGAGAAAGCGGTAGTTGGCATAGAGGACGGTTGGATAGAGGATCATTTTGAACGACGAGGCCGGAACGCGCATCCAGCGCATGCTCTTGAGGTCGGACCATAGTCCCTCTGACTCGGAGGAAAAGCGAGCAAGAGCTTTGAGAGCTGTAGGGGTCAGAAGTGCAGCGGGAGATCCGGGGCGAGAAAGAGAATATGAGCCGTCGACAGGTGTATTGGCTCCAATAGGCCTGCGGAAGGTGAGAAAAACAGGAGAAAGACAAGAGTGGGAGAACTTGCGTGGCAGGAACGAACGGGCCTGTGAGGTGATGAGAACCATCCTGCCTAAAAAAGGAGATTGGTGAAAAGGCAGCATACATGCACGAAGCACATACTCTATGCCCTCAATTACACTTAGGTTGGATGGGATGGGTCGAGAGCTCTTGCTGTAAGACATGGTGGTGAACAAGAGGATGGCCGACTGGTGGCCGAGTGTGTCCGCATACGGCCGGAGCAGGGATCTCCACTTGTAGCTGGATCACGTAATCCAGGCTGATTGAGTGTTGTGTCTGTGCTTCACTAAACTAACTCGTTCAAGGCCTCAAGCATGTAAGCTGTAAGCTTAGAACACGAGGATGCAAGGCTTTGCAATGACGTAAGGCGACTGGGGAGTGACTCCAACAGCTTTGGTCCTTTCCAGCGCAGTTTGGCCCACAATATGCCCTATTCTGATGTTCACACCAAATCTCACTTTCGGACCTTTTCACATTTGACCTGCCCACGCGCTCCTGCGTGCAGCGCAAGCATGGATGCACGCCACGGCTGCGACGCACCCGAAGCGCAAGCATGGATGCACGCCATGCTTTCCACCATATGTGTTGCAGCCGCATGGCAGCGCACGCACGGTTGACGAACGCCGCGCCACAGTGCGCGGCAGGATCACGTGATGTGTGCGGTGGATGCTGCTACGCCTGCGCCAGCTGCAGCCGTGGGCCACGATGTTCTCTGCGCGCCGCCTCGGGCTGTTCGACAGCATTCCGTGTCCAGACGCAGCGTGCCAGCGCAATCCGTGTCTCTTTGCGCATCAAACGGGTCTCAAAGCCCCGCCGACCACCCGTGTCCCTGTGACCGCCGCCACATCTTCCCCCAAATCTATCCTCAAGGCCCCTTCCGATGATGGTCTCGCAGTCCCCGCAAAGCGTCCCATGCTGTCCTCACCGGTCTCAGCCGGACATGCACCCCTGCCGCTTCCCCAGCCCCAGGCCTCGCCCTCCTCTGAGCCACCCCGCAAGCTGCAAAGAGTCGACGCCTTCAAGAGGGCTCTGCCAACTCTGCCGTCTGCTTCCAAACCCGTATGTCTGTCCTCACCTTTCCCGCCCTTCCCGTTCTTCACCGTCCTTCTCGCAATCCACACCGTTCTCGCAAATACTTTCGTCACACTCATTCATCTCTTAACCATAAGACTGGAGAGCCGGCTCTCAACGCCAACGCTGCCACCAGCCGTGTTCCCATCGTCGTCCGCCAGACCTGTCTGAAGAGCCTGTATGACGCCTTCGTGTACCTTTGGTTCCTCGTTCAGTCTGCCTCCCACTCACATCTCTTGCAGAAAACTCTATTCGTCGTTTCACTCCCAACACCCCCACCTTGCCAACCAACATGCCGCTGCCCAAGAAATCGAAGTCTACAACAAGACTAACAAGCTCACCTACCGCCAGGGCGTCGTCACTACAATTGTCGCGCTTAAGAAACGCCCTTCTCCGCCCCAGCCCCAGCACGAAAGCGTGGGTACCGAGAGCGAGTTCCAGGCGCGCGCGAATGTCAAGAAGCTGTCTCGCGTCGAGCCGCGTCATCTCGAGGAGGTGGTGTTGACCCGCGAACAGATGGCCACATGGGGTTATCTCCTTGACGTCCCTGAGGGCCCAGGAGGCGACAAGCCGAGTGCAGAGGGCGAAGAGATGGTTTGCGAACGCTGCTCCCAGCGGTTTGTCGTAACGCCCATGGGCCAGGGCAAGGACGAGGCATGTTCCTTCCACTGGGCACGGCCCTATACAACGACACTGAACGGTAACCTCGACACTGATATCCAAGCACTGGGTCTTCGCACTAACATCGACCCAGGGGAGAAAATCAAGATCTACAAGTGCTGCTCGATGGCACACCCCGGCCCAGGCTGTGCACACGGGCCTCATGTGTTCTACGAGAAGGACGCAGCGGCCTTGCACCAACGCCATCCCTTCTCGCACTCCTCCGATCCGCCTCCCACGCTCTCCGAAGACTCCGTACTCGACGTCGCTGCGCTGGATTGCGAGATGATATACACAACGGGGGGCATGCGCGTGGCGCGTGTG